CCAGACTGAGCCTCTGCTTCCCCAGATGTCAGCAATGCACAGGACAAGAATGATCTCAAAGAGGGGAAATCTCCCCAAAAGGTCTTTCCCAGCAGCACCTTTTCAGTGCCAACACCCCTTCCCTGCCTCTCTCCAGCTCTGCTTCCAATCCCAATCCTTTGTGCACAGCAAAGGAACACTCTTCCTCCCTCCCCCTCAATGAGAAAACCAAATTAGTGCGTTGTGGGCTGTGCTGAGGCTAGCAACGCCTCAGCCACACTTCCCACCTTCCCTCCTACCTTCCTTCTGGCTCTGAGCGGGTTTTTCCTCCCCTGCCAGCAGCAATGACTGTGAGAATACACATATCCCACTTGCATCTGCTCCGTGTTGGCAATGCAGCACTGCCCAGAGCGACAGCACATGCTCTGCAGCTGGCAGCAGTGCCCAAAACTCTCCCAGGGAACAGCAGCAACATTTTAAAAGTTTTGGTCTTGGGCCAGAACTTTTATCTCATCCCCACTGCCTATCGAAGATAAATCCCACCCTATTCTGCCAGGCAAAGACAATAGGTAAATATAAGCCACGACAGCACATCTAAGAATTTAGCAAATTTGTGCCTCATCAATTTAGTAGGGAAGAAAAAAATGTAACCAGATGAGAATATTCCATCTCTAGGCTCTTCCCATTTAAACTGGGGGGCTGGCATGGGGGAATGAAGAAGCTAACCCAATGTCTTCCTAGTTTTGTGAGTCCAAATCCAGACCTTAAATGGAGAACCTGGTAAAATTTGCTGCTCCTTGCCTCATCCATCACATAATCTCTGTCCTTGTTTGCAGATCATCAATCTTTTTGTAGCTGTTATAATGGATAACTTCGATTACCTGACACGGGACTGGTCCATTTTAGGACCACACCACCTGGATGAGTTTAAAAGGATCTGGGCAGAGTATGACCCTGAAGCTAAGTAAGTAACCCAGCCTGGATATCAGAGCTCCTTGGGAGAACAGGCCCATTATTTTCTCTTCTCTAGACTCAGTGCAGTAAGTGCCATGTTC